TATGGTATTTGATTTAAAGTCTATTGAAGGCTCTGTTCCCCCTTAAAACCTGTATCAGCATGTACTTCATCCCTAATGTTTTGAGTTTCTGTATTTCTTCTGTATTCATCTTTATTTCTATATCTTGTTCGGGATTAGTCACGCTTTCCACTCAGTTGGGAGAGAAGTGACCTTGATATCTAGACTTCTATACAAGTACAACGCACATAGCGCCCTTTCTCTCAACAGGCTTAGAAAGCTCTGCTGAGTGCTGACACCCTTCCTCTGAGAGGTTCGGATACACACTGATAAATGTTCAAATAAAGATTTCGTCTTTAGGTGTTGAGGAAATAAAATTTCGTTCGAAAGTTTTTTTCTTTACTTTCTTGTAAAATTTGTATTTGTTCACTTGTTGATTTTACAAAACTGCTAATTTCAATTTATAAAAATATGTCTCAAGAGTCTTTTTATTTTACTTTTGGTTTAAACTTTTGGTTTACTTTTTATATAAAAATCTAGATCTTTTTGTGTTTAAATTTTTTTTTGTTTGAAAAAGATTATTGTCTTGGTTTGCGGATCTGTGAACATTCTAGAAAGATATCAAATACAGGGTGTCTCACGAAAAATGCTAGAAAATGAATTGTTTAAGATGTCTTCTTTCATAATTTGTTAAGCTGTTTGATACCAAAGAGAATAATAAAATTATTGTATGGGAGTCATCTTATAGTAAATTAATTTCAAATTAAAATATATTTGATTTTGTTAATGAAATAAACGGCAAAATTAGAAATAAACTATTCATCAACTGTCATGTTTTGTGGGACACCATGTACCTGCAGGGGTCATTGAGTACGTACGCTTCAACCCAGCTTGTGTTTATACAGGCTCTACAGGCAGTCAGGCAGGTATCGTCATGCATTATATTTTCTGAGAACACCGCCCCCTGGCTTGCTCGGCTTTAGTTGCTTTAAGGCCTACCCTGCACTGTGACTCATCAAATGTGTATTTAAACAAAGTGTGTTTTTCTTAATCAGTGTGCTTCATTCCGAACTTGGACAAGGATATGAACAATATGTAATAAGGATATAGGACTTCAAAAACCTTCGTACCAAATCAATTGTCCAGTTATTTACATTCAGGCTTTCTTGCAGGCCAACACTGGCTTTATTCTTTGCTTAATAATTTGGTAAACCATCAAATACTCCATTGAATGCCGGAACCAAAAATTTAAATTTAAATCTTCATATTTCTAGAGGTTTGGGTCGTATTTACATTTGCATGCATCATTGTGTTACAAAGTCATGGAACCATGTATTTTTTATAATGCATGTGTCAGCCACCAGAAATTTATTGTGTCATGCATAGTAATTCAACATGAATTACATTGTGTCAAAAGAGAGAGTCATGTACCAAGTTATGGTAGTTATGTACAATGTAAATTGCACAGTACAGCACAGTGCAGTGGTGAGTTTCAGAATATTTCTTAAGTAATTCTGTTTATCATCTTTCAAAATATTTTAAAATTATCCACGAATTTTGTTGGAAAAATCCTCAAAAATGTTTGTTTAAAACTAATTGAAAGTTACGTTACACAGTTTAACTGATATATAGATCCAAGGAAAGTAAGTAGCTGATGTTGTATACCCGTCAGGACAAATGGAGGAAAATGTACGCTAGCTTCTGACGTGTGTATTTAGGTTAATCAACTACACTGATCATTGTTTTTAGGTGCAGTACGCGGAAAAGGGATTTGAAAATAAACCAAAATTTCGTGGAGGGGGGGGGTGATTTTATTGATGGACTATTTGGGTTATAAAAAGAATTGTAACTTTTTCTTCACCTTAATCATACATGATAAAATGGTAAATGAAGACAACTTCTCATAAATATACAGTGCTCCCCAAAATAAAATGGTAAGCATTAAATTAATAGATTAGATCTTTTTTTATATTCCCAAACTGAGGGGGAGTATATCTTGCCCTTAAATAGTATTTTTAATTTCGTCATGTTTATATGTATTGTAAAGTGTTATACTGTGTATATATATAGTTCAAACTATGGAAACCAGTGTTATGAAGGCCTCAGGGCAGCCTCGGTCTATATAGTAGAACTTTAGTGTTTCTTTAACCTTCAAACTTAAAGAAAAAGTCAACTCTATTCACAATGGTCTTAAACCATCAGTATTGATGAAGAGAGCTGTTTTTGTTTAATTTAAAAAGTGTCAATTTCGGACTGTGGCATTTTAGACATGCATCTAAAGAAAGATGTATTCATAAAAATAGGAATTATCAATGCATGCATGCAGGATACAAAAATTAAAGCTGAAAATTTACACTTATGAATTTAGTTTCTATCTAACCAATTTTTTTTTGGAAAAGTTTTGCTCTTCATCAAACTAGTTAAGTGGCCCCAGATGACATTGTGTAAATATAGAGTTAGATTAATAATATGATATTTCAGAAAAATGGATAGTCTTGCTGGACAACAATTGGTTAAAGCTGATGGAACCTCTGTCAATGCTGACGAAGCGCTGGCCGATAAGGTTTACTTTACTCTTTCCAACAAGATAATTTTTTTCTGACAAGATCAGTTTGTTTTCTTTCTGACAAGATTTGTTTTCTTTCTGACAAGATCAGTTTTTTTTTTCTTTCTGACAAGATCAGTTTTTTTCTGACAAGATCAGTTTTTCTCTTTCTGACAAGATCATTTTTTTTCTTTCTGACAAGATCAGTTTTTCTTTCTGACAAGATCAGTTTTTTTCTGACAAGATCAGTTTTTCTCTTTCTGACAAGATCAGTTTTTTTCTTTCAGAAAAAATGAGTTTTTATTTTTCTGACAAGATCAGTTTTTCTTTCTGACAAGATCAAGACAGTGGTTTTTTACTGACTGGTTTTCTTACTGTCAGGAAAGTGGTTTTCTTACTGACAGGACAGTGGTTTTCTTACTGACAGGACAGTGGTTTTCTTACGGACAGGACAGTGGCTTTCTTACTGACAGGACAGTGGTTTTCTTACTGACAGGACATAGATTGATGAAAAAAAGAACAAGAACATCAATGATGATTGATGAGATTCTATTTTCCTGGAGATTTTTCTGTTAAAAATTTTGTCATCAACAATTCAATACCTACCAAATAATCAAAACATATAAAAGTTCCATTCAAGCAAATTTTAAATTGAAATGTTGTTTTCTCTCTAGGAGTTGGTGCTGTACTACTTCTCTGCCCACTGGTGCCCACCCTGCAGGCAGTTTACCCCCATGCTTAAGGACTTCTACGAGGTATACTTTAATAACAATCACCACCACCCCCCTCCCGCCATGGTATCTATATATATAAAGTAGTAATCTCTGTTTTTCCAATCATAACTAAGGAGTCAGCGGACCAATTTGCCTCAAATTTTGAATTGGGGAACTCGGGAGAGCCTCGAGATGTTCTTAGCTTGGTTTTGAGATTCTAAGTTAAATGGGTTTATTGGTAAAAATAGAATAAATCGTTATTTACGACAAAGTCCGGGTAAAGTAAGCTAGTGTAAATTTAACCATTCCCTTTCTTCTAAAATCCTTTATTTTCTGTCAATTTTAAAGTTAACGAGCTATTCCTTCAGATGGATGAGCAAGATGAGCGCTAATGCAAGAACATTGTTGCGTACATAAATTTTTATTATTAGGAAGTATCTGATGAGGGAGTAGAGATCGTCTTTGTTTCTTCCGACCGTAGTAAAGAGGACATGTTGTCCTATATGAAGGTAAATTATTTATTTTTCCAACGCAATTCATAGAACTTTGGAGACATCTTAAGAATTTATAAAATTTCGTTTTCTAAACCTACTGATAATAGAATTCTACAGAAATATACAGATATATTTTTAATTGAATAGTTATATTATGAACAACTACTGAGATTTAATTGTCAAGACAACATTTTACAAATTCTTTAGATGTATCCGAAGTTCTGGGGTAAAAACTGTAGGACCCATAATCCTGTGGAAATGCATGTTAACTGTCAATGTATTAAGCAAAATGGGTTTGTGTTTAATGCACAATTGCCGTGATTCATGTTCAATAGACAGTTCTAAATCATTACTTGTGTCTAAAGATCGTCTTTCTATTCCACAGTTTTATGCGTCTCACTGTATTCAATTCTTAAAGAGTTATGATAATTTTGCTTTCTTGAACTTAAACTTAGTTGAAACTTGGTTCATATGTTTTCAAGTTTCAATATTCAGAATGAAAAACAAATATATCCCCAACTTTATTTCGAAATTGTTAATCCCACTCTAAAGATGGATAGTCACTGAACATGACTTCAGAATTACTTGGTCAGACTCTTTAATAATTCATACATAGGAGTCTCAATGGGAACAGTACCTTTTATAATTCATGTATAGTAGTCTAAATGGTGAACAGGCCCTTTAATAATTCATATATAGGAGTCTCAAGGGGTTCGAACAGGCCTTTTAATAATTCCTGTCTAGGAGTCTCAATGGTGAACAGTTCCTTTAATAATTCATATATAGGAGTCTCAATGGGAAACAGGCCCTTTAATAATTCATATATAGGAGTCTCAATGGGAAATAACATATATAGGAGTCTCAATGGGAAACAGGCCCTTTAATAATTCATATATAGAAGTCTAAAGGGGAACAGTTCCTTTAATAATTCATATATAGGAGTCTCAATGGGGAACAGGCCCTTTAATAATCCATGTCTTGTAGTCTCAAGGAGAACAGTTCCTTTAATAATTCATATATAGGAGTCTAATGGGGAACAGTCCCTTTAATAATTCATATATAGGAGTCCCATGGGGAACAGACCTTTAATAATTCATAAATAGGAGTCTAAAGGGGAACAGTTCCTTCAATAATTCATGTCTAGTAGTCTAAATGGTGAACAATTCCTTTAATAATTCCTGTCTAGGAGTCCCATGGGGAACAGTTCCTTTAATAATTCATATATTGGAGTCTCAATGGGGAACAGGCCCTTTAATAATTCATATGTAGGAGTCCCATGGGGAACAGACCTTTAATAATTCATAAATAGGAGTCTAAAGGGGAACAGTTCCTTTAATAATTCATATATAGGAGTCTAATGGGGAACAGTCCCTTTAATAATTCATATATAGGAGTCCCATGGGGAACAGTTCCTTTAATAATTAATGTCTAGTAGTCTAAATGGTGAACAATTCCTTTAATAATTCATGTCTAGGAGTCCCATGGTGACTGGTTGGCTACCGAGCATAACTCTAATCTGACCAACTCACTTAAGCAGAAATACGGTAGAATAATGAGATACAAAATATACATCTGAAAATATCAATATTTTAGAGGTTTTTTCTTTTTCTTTCTCAAGCTCAATGGGACTGTAAGCGTAATTTCAAATGACCCTCTTCATGCAAAGATTGCAATGCCTGATTTACAACAGTACCCTTAAAACCTTAATCTGATAATAAATGTGAAAAGTTTGTATTTTGTTTAGTTTTTGTAAACACGAAATGCGCAGAGAAACCGCAAATAAAGATAAAGAAACAAAAAAAAATCATATCCAATTCATAATTGATCTGACAAAGCTTTCAAGGGTATCGTTGTAAATCGGGTATTTCTATCTTTTCATGGACTATGGAGGGTCTCTTGAAATTTGAAAGTACGCTTACAGTTCTTTTAATTTCTAGTTTTCTACTTTACAATTGACAATTAGTTTCAAATATTTATGAAGATCCATTATGGTGTAAAATTTGAAAAAAACACATTATTTTTGCTCTATTTAAATCAAAATTTATTTGATTTTAACAGGAACTATACACTTCTCAATTGTTATAGATAACTAGGAAAATTGGTACAAAATATTTTCTTGTTTAATAAAGGGATCAGATTTAATGAACAGCGAGAAGTATAGTTGAGCCAATTCTTTTGTGCGCCGGTTCAAGTTCAATAGCATTGGTTCAACTCTGTCTACATAGTTCAACTACTTCTCCCGATTTAAATAATAAAATAAGACGACTTTTAGACTAAAAAGATTTGATTTAAAAAGTCCTATGAATGTAAGACAGTGCACAGACCCATTTTGCTGAACAAGTTGGTTTCCAAGCTACTAGTAAAACTGTTTCCATTGTAACATCAAATATATTTGAAGTTACTTAAATGTCGTCTTACTATTTAATATTAACTGGATTTTTTAGGAGTTTCTGGAATACCAACACTTGTTGTCTGCAAGAAGGTAGATTTTTTTTGTGGGGAGGGGGGACTTTTGATTTTGACAAAATATTTTTTAAGGAAGGGATAACTTCTTCAAGTTCTAATATTCTTATTCTAATACCTTAGCAACCTGATGTCATAGACCTTAGATAATTCAAACTGTGAATTCTGTTAGATCAAATGGTCAACTTTGAAATTTTATAGGACCTTCAGGTGGAAAAAATATAGTATTATAAAAATAGATCCTTTGTGCTTATAGTTAACAATTTAATTTTCCGTGGTTTTCTTAATTTCTCTCAGTTAAAAACTTAAAAATTGTTAAAAAAAACTTTTAAACTTCTTAGTCAATGGTTAAATGTTTCTTAAAAAAAATATTATATAGGATGGTACTGTGATCACCAAGGATGGGCGCGGCCATGTTATGTCTAAGCAGCCTGCCCAGGCTGTCAAGGATTGGAAAAGTTAATGGCGGCAAAGCATCACCGACGACTTCACCGTTTAATTCAAAATGGCGTTTTGCTATTTTAGATGTTTACTGTTTTGACACACAACTCACAAGTTTGATCTATAATGCTATCCTATGTATAGCTTTTTATTTTTGTGCTTAAATAAAATTGATTGATTTTACATTAAAATTAGATTAATTTTCATAGAATAGAAATAAAATGTTTTTTAACCTTTGTTTGTTGTTATGTTTATTAAGCCTAGTATTTAAGACTTGATTACAGTTTGAGAGTTATAGGAGGTGCATTAAACTCTAATTTGATTAAATGAATACTTTCTTCAAAAATAAAGCCTTTTCTACGAAGAAAGATGATGTTTAAAAAAAGATAACATGCAATTTTGATGCAACTGCATGCATCATTGTGTTTATTTTAAAGTCATGGAACCATGTATTATTTTATAATGCAGTGTCATGCATAGTAATACAACGTGTCATAAGAGAGTCATTTACCAACACTCTATCCCCATAGTAAATTTGAATTCAAACAGGACCTGCTATGACAAATCCCATGACGCGTTCAGACTTTTTATAGTACCCGGCCTAATCCTAGGCCTATTTGACCGACCCCACTGGCTTAGTCCACCGTGCCAAGTTATGGTAGTTATGTGCAATTTAAATTGTACAGTACAGCACAGTGCAATGGATAGAACTAAAATATGTATCAGTATATTTCTTAGGTAATTCTGTTTATCATCTTTCAAAATATTTTACAATTATCCAAGAATTTTGTTGCAAAAATCCTCAAAAATGTTTGTTTAAAACAAATTGAAAGTTATGTTACACTGATATATAGAAAGAAGAAAAGCATGAACATATCTGCCACTTTACCAGATGTTAGGATTGGTGGAGTAGGAATTAATAGAATTGGAGAAGATTGTGAAGAAAAGTTGTTTAAATTTGTAGGATTAAATCTAGATGAATATCTCACATGGGATTATCATCTTAGCAAACTCAATAAAAAGTTATCTATTTCATACTTTGCTACATTTAAAAATAAGAAAAACTATTTACAATACACTTTTTAAAAGTCATATGGAATTCGGAATAACATGTTGGGGTGCTTCAAAGAATAAAAAAATTAAGAATATTCAAAATATTCAAAAAAAAAAGGCTAAAAGAGCAGTTTCAAATTCAAGCTTCAATGCACATACAATTACACTTTTTGGAAAACTAAATATTTTGAAACTGCATGATATTCTTCAATTGAAAGGTTCAATTTTTATGTACAAATACTTCAATGAACGACTTCCTGAATCGTTTAATAATATGTTTTGTGCTTTGTCTCATCAAAACCGAACAAAATGCTTAAGATTAGAAAGACCTATAGGAAAAGTATTAGAACAATTTCCTAAAGTTTTCCTACCACAAATATGGAAATCGCTGTCACTAGAAATAAAAAGCTCTTGTTCTTTAAACTAGTTAAAAAAAATAGCATGTGGATAAAACAAATATGTATCTGCAATTTGAATGTTCAAAATCAAACTGTTATTCATGTATTTTTGAATAAATAAATGTGCCATCCTAAGTTCTGAGCCAGCTATTAATTCTGATTGAGCTAAATAACCCCCCCCCTCTCTTCCTAATTTGAATGTTCAAAATCAAACTGTTATTCATGTATTTTTGAATAAATAAATGTGCCATCCTAAGTTCTGAGCCAGCTATTAATTCTGATTTAGCTAAATAACCCCCCAGTTGGCTTGGCAAATCCAGTTGTGGCGTTATTTCTGGGTAAACATTAAATAATGGTAGTAGATTCTACATAGCAAATTTTCCGCGGAATAATTAGTTAACATTAATCGATTTTCAAGGTTTTGTTTTTGTAGAAATTTAAATAATATATTTTTGTCATGTTTAATTAAATATGTTTAAAGCTAAAACTATAAAAACCTCCGTTACAAAGTTTGAATATTTTTTTGTAGGATGACATCCTATTTTTTTGTAATGATAAATGTTATTATGTCAGTGAATTAAATCCTTTTTTATATTCCCAAACTGAGGGGGAGTATATCTTGCCCTTAAATAGTATTTATAATTTCGTCATGTGTATATGTATGGTAGTTATGTTGTGTGTTTTTAGTTCAAACTATGGAAACCAGTGTTATAAATGTCTCAAGGCAGCCTCGGTGTATATAATAGAACTTTAGTGTTCCTTTAACCTTTAAACTTAAGATATCTCTCCCTTAGCCTGAAACCTTGTTGTGAGCAAACCTGCTGTCAAGATTGATGATCTGCACCACCAACATGAAGCTCTATAAAGCTGTTACCACTGATGTTACCACTGATGTCCGTCAATAGTTTTCTTTGTTCATTTCTAACTAACCAATTTTTAACCATGTTTTATGCAAATATTTCAAAACACTTTTGTTTTTTAAAATAAATGTTAAGAAATATCCATTTTAGATCTCTTTGTTTTAATAAAGTGACTTTTAAAGTCAACACAGTTTTTCTTTTTTTCTGACGAGATCAATTTTTCTCTTTTTGATGAGTTTTTTCTTTCTGACAAGACGAGTTTTTTCTTCCTTTCTGACAAGATTTTTTTTTTCTTTCTGACAAGATGAGTTTTTTTCTTTCTGACAAGATGAGTTTTTTTTTTCTCTCTGACAAGATCATTTTTTCTTTCTTTCTGACAAAATCAGTTTTTTTCTTTCTGACAAGATCAGTTTTTTCTTTCTGACAAAATCAGTTTTTCTCTTTCTGACAATATCAGTCTTTCTTTCTGACAAGATGAGTTTTTCTTTCTGACAAAAAGGTTTTTCTTTCTTAAGATAACTATGTTTTGCTGACAACTATAATTCAGTGTCATTTTTATCTCTTGAAAGGCAACTGACTATTTTTGCTTTACACTCAATTATTTTTGGTCTTGCTGAATGGAAGTGGTTTTATTACTGACAGGACAGTGGGCTTCTTACTGACAGGACAGTGGTTCTTTTACTGACAGGACAGTTGCAAACTCAAGGAAACAAGATGTTGGAAATGAATATCAAGAAGCTAAACAGTAATCTACCAGGGACGGATCTGGAAGGGTATTTGTTCCCCAAAACAATAGTTCCGATTAACAGCAGCAGCTTCCGAACAATCAATACACAAACCGTTACCAAAAATCGATAATAATAAAAATCTCTTTCTTTCCTGAAAAATATACATTTAATTAGTACGATTACATATTGTGAAAATAATGTTTATAATGAAAATAATGCTTACAATCTATTATCTGGAAGACGGGTACAAATTGGATATAAACAGTACTAAAATGACGTTTTTGACTTCTGAAATAAAATGGCAATTTATTATCAATGTAAATCACTATTTTTTATAAATTTTATTCATTTGCTTAACTTTTTGAAACTGTATTACTACACGTGAAGTTGTTTATACTTTTGTCGGAGAGAAAGGGGGGGGGTGAAAATGTTTGATTTGGCTGTCAAAGACGACTTTACAACGGAGTATTCATTGTTTAAGGATAACAACAGTGGTTTTCTTACTGACAGGACATGTGGTTTTCTTACTGACAGGACAGTGGTTTTCTTACTAACAGTGTCATCTCTGAAGTCTCATCTTATGTGGTTGAACCCTGTATCTAGATGTCATAGATTGATGAAAAAAAAGAACAAGAACATTAATGATGATTGATGAGATTCTATTTTCCTGGAGATTTTTCTGTTAGAAATTTTGTCATCAACAATTCAATACCTACCAAATAATCCAAACATGTAAACGTTCCATTCAAGCAAATTTTAAATTAAATTGTTGTTTTCTCTCTAGGAGTTGGTGCTGTACTACTTCTCTGCCCACTGGTGTCCACCCTGCAGACAGTTTACCCCTAAGCTAAAGGACTTCTACGAGGTATACTTTAATAACAATCACCACCACCCCCCTCCTGTCATGGTATCTATATATATATAAAGTTGTAAGCTCTGTTTGTCCGATGATAACTCAGGAATCCTGTACCAATTTGCCTCAAATTTTAAATTGAGAACTCGGGAGAGCTCCGAGATGTTCTTAGCTTGGTTTTGAGATTCTAAGTTAAGTGGGTTTATTGGTAAAAATAGAATAAATCATGACCAAGTCCAGGTAAACTAAGCTAGAATTAATTAAACCATTCCCTTTTATTATAAAATTCTCTATTTTCTGTCAGCTATATAAGTTTCAATGTTAGGCAAATCTAACAAGCTAATCCTTCAGATGGATGAGCAAGATGAGTGCTAATGCAAGAACATTGTCACGTACATAAATTTTTTATTATTAGGAAGTATCTGATGAGGGAGTAGAGATCGTCTTTGTTTCTTCCGACGAAAGTAATGAGGACATGTTGTCCTATATGAAGGTAAATTATTTATTTTTCCAACACAATTCATTCATAGAACTTCGGAGACATGTAAAGAATTTATAAAATTTGGTTTTCTAAACCTACTGATAATAGAATGCTACAGATATTCAGTTTTATAATTGATAATTATATAATGAAGCTTTTTAAAACTGTTCCTGCATATTTCATGGCAATTTATTTATTTTTACAACTTACACTATAAATAGTAGAAAACACATTTAAAAATTGTCAAGACAACATTTTACAAATTATTTAGATGTATCCGAAGTTCTGGGGTAAAAACAGTAGGACCCATAATCCTGTGGAAATGCATGTTAACTATCAACTTATTTAGCAAAATGGGTTTGTGTTTAATGCACAATTGCCGTGATTCGTGTTCAATACAGTTCTAAATAATTACTTGTGTCTAAAGATCGTCTTTCTATTCCACAGTTTTATGCGTCTTACTGTATTAAATTCTTAAAGAGTTATGATAATTTTGCTTTCTTGAACTTAAACTTAGTTGAAACTTAGTTCATATGTTTTCAAGTTTCAATATTCAGAATGAAAAACAGAGATATCCCCAACTTTATTTCGAAATTGTTAATCCCACTCTAAAGATGGATAGTCACTGAACATGACTTCAGAATTACTTGGCCAGACTCTTTAGTAATTCATAAATAGGAGTCTCAATGGGAACAGTACCTTTTATAATTCATGTATAGTAGTCTAAATGGTGAACAGGCCCTTTAATAATTCATGTCTAGGAGTCCCATGGGGACTGGTTGGCTATCGAGCATAACTCTAATCTGACCAACTCACTTAATGAGAAATACGGTAGGATAATCAGATACAAACTATACATCTGAAAATATCAATATTTTAGAGGTTTTTTCTTTTTCTTTCTCAAGCTCAATGGGACTGTAAGCATAATTTCAAATGACCCTCTCCATGCAAAGATTGCAATGCCTGATTTACAACGGTACCCTTAAAGACATGTGAAAAGTGTGTATTTCTGTGAGTTTTTATATTGCTTCTTAAATCGGGCAATGCCATCTTTTCATGGACTATGGATGTAAAATGATGTAAAATTTGAAAAAAAAACGTTATTTTTGTTTTATTTGAATCATTTTTTTTAAATTTTAAAGTTATAGATAACTAGGAAAAATATCTATTTAATAAAAGGATCCGATTTAATGAACAGCGAGAAGTATAGTTGAGCCAATTCTTTTGTGCGCCGGTTCAAGTTTAATAGAATTGGTTCAACTCTGTCTACATAGTTCAACTACTTCTCCCGATTTAAATAATAAAATAAAACGACTTTTAGACTAAAAAGATTTGATTTAAAATAGTCCTATATGAACGTGAGTGAACAGACCACTTTTGCTGATTAAGTTGGTTTCCAAGCTACTAGTAAAACTGTTTCCATTGTGACATCAAATAAACCTGAAATTACTTAAATGTTGTCTTCCTATTTCATACTAACTAAATTTATTTTAGAAGTTGATGGAATACCAACACTTGTTGTCTGCAAGAAGGTGAGGGGTTTTTTTGTGGGGAGGGGGGACTTTTGATTTTGATAAAATTTTTTATAAGGAAGGGATAGCTTCTTCAAGTTCTAATATTCTTATTCTAATATCTTAGCAACCTGATGTCATAGACCTGTAGATATTTCAAACACTGGGAATTCTGTTAGATCAAATGATTTAAGTTTGAAATTTAAAGGTTTACACCTTCAGGTGGAAATAATATAGCATTATAAAAATAGATCCTTTGTGCCTATAGTTAACAATTTATTTTTAATGGCTTTCTTAATTTCTCTCAATATCTCTCAGTTAAAAGTTGTTAAAAAAGTTTTAACTTATTAATCAATGGTTAAATGTTTCTTTAAAAAAAATATTATATAGGATGGTACTGTGATCACCAAGGATGGGCGCGACCATGTTATGTCTAAGCAGCCTGCCCAGGCTGTCAAGGATTGGAAAAATTAATGGCGGCAAAGCATCACCGACGACTTCACCGTTTAATTCAAAATGGCATTTTGCTATTTTTACATGTTTACTGTTTTGACGCACAACTCACAAGTTTGATCTGTAATGCTATCCTATGTATAGCTTTTTATTTTTGTGCTTAAATAAAATTGATTGATTTTACATTAGAACTAGATTAATTTTCATAGAATAGAAATAAAATGTTTTTTAACCTTTGTTTGTATTATAATCTTATGTTTATTAGGCCTAGTATTTTAGACTTCATTGCAGTTTGAGAGTTATAGGAGGTGCATTAAACTCTAATTTGATTAAATAAATACTTTCTTCAAAAATAAAGCCTTTTCTACGAAGAAATATGAGCTTCAACCTTTTCTGTTAATCGAGAGTTGCAGAATTCTACTTATTTTTATCATTTTTAATCTAAGCATAACACTTGATGACGGCTTGGAGATCGTTTTTAATCTTTAAAATAATTTGCAACATAAATTCGTCAACTTATTCTTTTCAATAAAATTCTTGAATTAATTTTTACAAAATTCCAATTCAAGTCGTCTCTATACTGTCATGTTGCCTGGGATACCAGGGGGCGGGCATAACTCTCCTAGTTTTGCCTGGCTAGGTTTATACTGTACAGTGAATTTTGTCGAAAAATGTTTCCTTATGACTGAGTTGGTATCATAGAGTACAGTGGGTTTAATCCTAAGTACATCTATTTGTACGGTATTGTGTGGACAGTTAATTTTAATATTTTTCAACAATGAGATATTGTAGTGTCAAGAATTGTGTAAACAACGATGTTTCGGGTTCAGAAATTTTTCATAACATACGAAAAGAGTGGATAGAACAAGTTATCTGGAAGACAAAAAACCCAATTTTTATATGCAGTGAACCAAAATGTAAAAAAATAGATTGCGTCAAAATCTTTCAAAACTGGCTCTCCTACAAAACCAATAGATTATTTATAATTAAAAATTACTTGTTTCACGTTAAGTTCATTTATGTAAAATAAATATTTCAACAGTTTTCAGTTCTTCAATAACTTTAAAATTAAGTCTAACCTAATTTAGATCTATTATTAGTTAAGAATTGCTTTTCATTCTAAAAGTCAGAAACATATATTACTAAGAGTTAATGCACAATGTAGATTTCAGAAGTAAAGAATTTGATAAGAAGCAAGATGTTATTGAGAAGGATTTTATTTTTTTTCTCTATTTGTCATGTCTCATTTTTATACAAAAATCATATGGGCTTGTTTTCTTTGCTTGAATATTGTAGGCTTCGGATTCAAACTATAATGTCTTAAAACACTAATCTACGAATTGTGATCCCCCCAGGTAGAATTTCTGATCGGGTCATTGTGTACAGTAGCTGTACAACAAGAAGTCTAAAATTCCAGATGCCCCCTCTATTACTAATATCTCGATGGAGAGTCTTATAGCTATTAATTCAAATAGTTCATATCTCTTATCTAGAATCATTAAATAAGCAGTAAAGGTTTATATGTAATGTGTATTTAATACAAAATAGATTTTTTCCAGTTTGAACTTTTAAATATTTCTGTTTTTTTTATTACTTTATCAATTATCCTGTTTCGGCTGTTTCTCTCCTTTCTCCTGTTTCTCCTGTTTCTCCCCTCTATGAAGCAGTCCTCGAATTTTTAGAACAGGAGGAAATTTTCCAATTCCTAGATTTTACTTTTCATAAAAATGGTGAAAAAATAATTTTACCTAGTTCAGATCTTTAATATCTACTGATATTCCAAGAACATACAGGGTGTCCCTCATACATGACAGTAGCAAGACAACTTGAAAGTCGTCTTTGAACTATGTAGTTTTATTATTTGTGACATTGAGTCGTCAACCTACTTTCTTGAAACAGTAACCACAAAATAGCCATGTCTTTTCATTTCCAAAATGTGGTCTGCCTTTTTTAGGCTGTCAATATTACAGGAGATCAGAATTGCGTTTAGATTTCAATGTAGTTAAATTAATCCAAAATTGTCGAAATCTGAATAAAATTCCTCATTTCTCCATTAATATTTGCACAAAAAGGTAGACAACGTTTTGGAACAGGACAATGGCTATTTTAAAATTATCAATTCTAAAATTTTACTTTTAAAATTAGGTTTACGAATAAATGCCATAAATTATTTCAAAGATGAAAGAAGACCTTTATTTAGTCTTGCTAATGTCATGTTTCGTGGGACACCCTGTATTTCGTTTTTAAAAGTAACCAGAAAACATTACAATTAGAGACTTTGATTTTCTGTCTTAAAATTTTGCACATTTTTTAATGATAACCAGAAAAAAATTAAATAAAAAGACGACATTACAGCAATACTCATGTGAATTTTATGTTGTTACAAAGCAAATAGTTTTACTTTACACTTATTAAATCAATAGTTTGCTGAATGGGTCTGTTTACACTGCACAATGCCTGTTGCAGGCCTCCTTTTTTTAAATGTTTAATTTGATTCTGTAAGTTGTCTTTCTATTTCAGAGTTTTCTGGTTTATGAATGTATATAAATAATTTTTATACACAAAACACATTAACGCAAATACTGTATTTTATTATTAAATTTTTTCCAAAAAATGTTCAAAACTTCAATTTTTGATTGCTTTTTTGTTTATTTTTTAAAAAGAAATGTTTTTTTAAATAGGATAATTTTTAACAATAACAAAAGACAAAATCCTTTGCAAATGCAATTGAAAAAAAAACTTTAAATACAGAAATGAGATGACAACTAATCCACTGTACAAATAATTTTGAATGAGTTAAATCTATTCCTAAGATTGGTGGAGGAAGTTCTTCTAGTTCTAGATGCTTCATCACCATCTAGGTTGGAAATTAGAAAATAAATATCTAGCAGAATATATTTTCAGCCCAAGGTTGTTTATTACTGTTAGATACTCTGGATGCGCACCAATGTACGGACATTTCGTCTTCATAGCAATTGAAGTAATAATCCTCATATAGTGTAACACGGAGTACTGGCAGAAGATGAAAATGACAACGTAGTCAGAAAGGGGAAGATTTTTTTCTGTTTGTCAGCTGTAAAAGGGGAGAAAATCCCCCCCCCTTCCTCCCCCCCCCCACTCAATTACATCATAATAGGATTTTGACTGTCCATTGCTATGAAGGCGACACTTTCCGTACATTGGAGCGCATCCTAAGTATCTAACCTTCATTAACAACCTTGGTGCAGTCACTAAAGGTAGTTAGTTCACGGATTTAATTGATAAATTTATTGAAAAGTAGGTTCATTGTGTACATTGTATATTTAAACAATCTTTGTGTATTCAAGTCTATAAATGTACGATTTCCCCAACAAACAACTGAATCAATTTGTTTATGATAGATAGATAGATAAATAAATAAATGGGCAGATGGCTTGATAACTGTATAGATGGCTGGATAGATGGCAAGATAGATGGATGGCTATATAGATGAATAAAGATAGATAGATAGATTGATAGATAGATATAGAAACATATATATAATAAGAAACGGAAGGGCAGTATCTATACTATACCTGGATAATATTTAAGAAACGGAAGGGCAGTATCTATACTATACCTGGATAATATTTAAGAAAAGGAAGGGAAGTATCTATACTATACCTGGATAATATTTAAGAAAAGGAAGGACAGTATCTATACTATACCTGGATAATATTTAAGAAAAGGAAGGGCAGTATCTATACTATACCTGGATAATATTTAAGAAAAGGAAGGGCAGTATCTATACTAAACCTGGATAATATTTAAGAAACGGAAGGGCAGTCAGTATCTATACTATACCTGGATAATATTTAAGAAAAGGGCAGTATCTATACTATACCTGGATACTATTTTAGGAAAGGAAGGGCAGTATCTATACTATACCTGGATAATATTTAAGAAAAGGAAAGGCAGTATCTATACTATACCTGGATAATATTTAAGAAAAGGAAGGGCAGTATCTATACTATACCTGGATAATATTTCAGAAACGGAAGGGCAGTATCTATACTATACCTGGATACTATTTTAGGAAAGGAAGGGCAGTATCTATACTATACCTGGATAATATTTCAGAAACGGAAGGGCAGTATCTATACCTTATATACCTGGATACTATTTTAGGAAAGGAAGGGCAGTATCTAAACTTATATACCTGGATACTATTTTAGGAAAGGAAGGGCAGTATCTATTCTGTTCTATAATATTTAGGAACCAATAGGAGAAATGTTCAGTATAAGGAGCCCTTCACATGAAAATCAAATAAAAAGTCAATTTAGAAAAAATAACTTTGTGTTCATAAACATATTATTTTCTTATTAAATAACGACAAAACAGCTGAACCGAACAGGCCCATGTGGTTATTCCATTATTTCAAAATAAAATGTATTCAGATAAAAGCAAAAAAAACCCTTAATAATTTTAGCTGATTCTTGATTAACGCAATAATTAAAGATACTAAAGATGTGACCCCTTTTACAACATTGTGCAATCGAAGCTGGGAACTTTTGAATGGTGGAAATCGGGATTAATGCTTGAGCCACTCTTTTATTAATCTCCAGATTAAATAACGCTTGTTCTCCTCTTGATATTAATCTCCGGATTAATTAACCGATCGGGATTAAAGATATCCTATTCTAAAGTTTACCAGTATTTAGTTTACAGCTAGAATATAAGAATGAAAATCCCTCTGAACTTAAAACTATTGGAGGTTGTTGAATTTATATGGCAAATCAAGCATCCTTTTCATAAAAACAAAATAAATGCTTTTTATAAATGATTTCCTAAATAGTTTTGATATAAAGACATTACTGCCAGGATCCCCGTAGAACATATTCATAGAGATACCAGTATCTAGAGCTGTCACCTGGACATAGAGATTAGAGATATTAACAGCAGTAAACATAGAGATTAGATATATATAGAGCAGTCACCTAGACATAGAGATTAGAGATATAAACAGTAAAATAGAGATTAGATATATATAGACCAGTATACATAGAGATATATATATATAGAGCAGTAGACATAGAGATTAGAGATATAAACAGCATTAAACATAGAGATTAGATATATAGAGCAGTATACATAGAGATATATATAGAGCAGTAGACATAGAGATTAGAGATATAAACATCAATAAACATAGAGATTATATATATAGAGCGGTATACATAGAGATATACATAGAGTAGTAGACATAGAGATTAGAGATATAAACAGCAGTAAAAATAGAGATTAGATATATAGAGCAGTATACATAGAGATATATATAGAGCAATAGACATAGAGATTAGAGATATATATAGCAGTATACATAGAGATACCATTATCTGGAGCAGTCACCTGGACATAGAGATATTTAGAGCTGTAGGGGAGTGAAATTCTTGAAAATATATACTCCTGTATATAAGGTAGGGACCTGGTGCCACAAGAAAGCTGGAATATATATACTCCTCTAATCTCTATATTTAAGGTAGGGACGTGGTGCCAGTAGAAAACTGGAACATATACTCCTGTAATCTCTATATATAAGGAGGGACCTGGTGCCAGTAGAAAGCTGGAATATATACTCCTGTAATCTCTATATATAAGGTAGGGACCTAATGCCAGTAGAAAGCTGGAATATATACTCCTGTAATCTCTATATATAAGGAGGGACCTGGTGCCAGTAGAAAACTGTAATATATACTCCTGTAATGTCTATATTTAAGGTAGGGACCTGGTGCCAGTAGAAAGCTGGAATATATACTCCTGTAATCTATATATATAAGGTAGGGACCTGGTGCCAGTAGAAAACTGTAATATATATACTCCTGTAATCTCTATATTTAAGGTAGGGACCTAGTGCCAGTAGAAAGCTGAAATATATACTCCTGTAATCTCTATATATAAGGTAGGGACCTGGTGCCAGTAGAAAGCTGGAATATATATTCCTGTAATCTCTATATATAAGGAGGGACCTGGTGCCAGTAGAAAGCTGGAATATATACTCCTGTAATCTCTATATATAAGGAGGGNATCAATGATCATTACTCATTACATGACATATTTATCAATTCAGTTATTATTATTATTAGATAGCAGCTAAAAAAAAAAATCTTATCTTTTATAAAAAAAAATTCTTACCTGGCGTTTTCTTTTAATAAATCATCACAGTAGTTTTAAAACGTATCTTTTCTAAACAAACACATTTTATTTTATTTTAATATTGATTTTTTTTTATTTTAACCTTTCGAAGTTTCAATCTGTTTAAATCATTAAATCGAATTTTCATGAATTTTCTCTCCAACAAATATGATAAATATAATATAAAATGATGAATACAAAACAAGAACACTAACAACGAAAACTATAAACAGCAATATGGAGTATAGACGACATCGAATCCAAGCAAAAACGACAATAATACCTGCAAAATTACAACATCAATGAATACCACGACAAAGAAAAAATAACCTGATGGAATATGCCTTTCCGACTTTGTAATCAGCCTTGTCCGTCTTTCCCCGGATCCATACCTCGTTCTCCCCCACCTTCTCAACCTAGATAGATAGATAGATGGATAGATGGATAGATAGATAGTTGGATCGATTGAGAGATTGATAGATTGATGGATTGATGGATTGATGGATTGATGGATAGATGGGTAGTTAGATCGATTGATAGATTGATGGATTGATGGATTGATGGATTGATGGATTGATGGATTGGTGGATTTGTGGATTGATGGATTGATAGATGGATAGATAGTTAAATGGATAGGTAAATCGATAGAGATAGATAGATAGAAAGATAGATAGATACTTACAAGGGATTGTATTGTCCAATGTCTGGCTGCCCAGTCGACTGTAGCGTCTGTGATTATCACTGGTTTAGCCTTGACAACAATATTTAGAGGATTTTAAGGAATTGTTGTCTTGACAATAATATTTAGAGGATTTAAAGGAATTGTTGTCGTGACAATAATATTTAGAGGATTTAAAGAAATTTTTGTCTTGACAAAAATATTTAGAGGATTTAAAGGAATTGTTGTCTTGACAACAATATTTAGAGGATTTAAAGAATTATTGTCTTGACAATAATATTTAGAGTATTTCAAGAAATTATTGTCTTGACAATTATATTTAGAGGATTTCAAGATTTCAAGATTATTGGGTTAAAAACAATATTTACGTTTAAAATAAAAATGCGACAGAGAAGAGAAATTTGTTAACAAAAAAAATATATGTAGAACATTTTTGTTACCTTCGTAAAATATTCTTCATGAAATTCAAGTTCGGATAAATTTGAAACTCTAAATACAAGTCTATATTAGTTTGAAAGTGTAGTAGACCCAGTTTAGTGGCTAGTGTAGCAGACCCAGTTTAGAGGATAGCATCGCAGACCCAGTTTAGAGGATAATATAGCAGACCCAGTTTAGTGGAATGTGTAGCAGACCCAGTATAGAGGATAGTGTAGCAGACCTAGTTTAGTGGCTAGTGTAGCAGACCCAGTTTAGAGGATAGTGTAGCAGACCCAGTTTAGAGGATAGTGTAGCAGACCCAATTTAGAAAATAGTGAAGCAGACCCAGTTTAGAGGATAGTAAAGTTGACCCAGTTTAGAGGATAGAATAGCAGACCCAGTTTAGAGGATAGTAAAGCAGACCCAGTTTAGAGAATAGTATAGCAGACCCAGTTTAGAGGATAGTAATGCAGACCNCTGATACGGATCCGGATCCGACCAAATGATACGGATCCGGATCCGAAACACTGGAAGAAAGAATTCTAAACTATTTACCAACTGCCATGTTTCGTGGGACACCCTGTATGTATAGAGTGCAAATTCTAATATACAACGATACCCTTTAATCCATTGTCTGGCCAAGGAATGAGGTTTCTTCCTTCTTCATATATCGGAAAATTGACAACTTTTTTAATTATAAAGTTTCAAAATGAAAAACGACACTGTCCTCCTAATGGTTACTCAGATAGAGATATACAGGGTGTTGGCTAAGTAGTTCTTAATCAGAATAAAAGTAAAACAGACAATTAAATTGAGAGTAACTTGAAAAGTAAATACAATCCTTAGAATCATTAGTAATGAATGCCCACCCACTGTGAAAGCTTCTATTATGACATCGTCCTGAGCTGAAAACTTCAGAATATCCACTGTAGAAACTTTGAATTTTCGTTTGATTACAAATACAGGTACGTTACTATCGATAGAACTTATATACGTTCGTTTGAAATAAAGTCAGCTGTTCACACGCCGACTTTTAGAGCAGTTTTGAATATAAATTATATCATGTTAATATTAACTTCTTAATAAACATTAACATATTCTATTACATTTAAGAACTACTGAAGTCCTTTTAACCTTAATCTTATTGAACATTACGTGCGTCAATCATTAGTCCTATAGAAATGACCCCACAAATGTGGGAAAAAACCGGGTTTTCAAATATTAATGCGCATCTCTAATATTAAGAAATTAATCTTTAGACTCAATCTTAATCATTATTGAAGGTTAATGTTCAGATCAAGTTGTGAATGAATGCCCTTTTTCACTATAATTACGCGTTCAGTCCCTTTAAATGTTTGATATCTACAATATTCGTATGAGGATCTTATCCATAAAGGAAACATTGTCCATTATTTTTATCTGAAATATTAAATATTCAATGCCAAGTTTCTTTATACAATGTATTTCAACATGTTAGAACATGAACTTGAGAAGCTACGCGGCCAAGCAGGCGCGCCACTTGCGAGTTTTTGTAATGTTTGTCGCGGATTTTGAGGCGAACTCTTCGTAGATTTTCTGCGAATAAAGATGATGGTGATCAGGAGGATATAATTAACGGGTTCCAGCAACAGATACCTAAACATTTAACAAATATATTTCACCAGATGTTTGTAAATATCTACACTTCGATTAATTAATATGAAAAACGAAATATAATCTACTTAAGCTTCATTTTTGTAGTAATCGAATCAAATCAGTTGTAAAATTAAAATATTAATTTGAGATAAGAAAAAAAAAAATTTGCTCCAATGAGGGCTTATTTTCTCAAATGTCAAGAGCAAGATCAAAATTTATATCTCATGTCGTTTTTTGAACTTTTAATGTAACTTTATTTACGAATAGAGTGGTAGATTAGCCTCTTCATTTCTATTAACTTTTCTTAAAGAATAATTTACCCCCTTAAAACCCACGAATACAACTGAATACGCGTTTTAGATACGAAAATGTACCTAAAAATTAGGGGTTTTATCAAAGGGGTAGGATGGGTCATGCTCGGGGGAGGGGAAAGAGAGAGATACCCCTGTTGGTATCCTAAGATCCTACCTCAGGCCTGAGCTCCTCAACCATATTCTTGCTCTCGAGATCCCAGATCTTAATGGTGGGTCCGGTAGCAGCGCACAGCCAGTACCTGAAAACAACCATTTATTTTGCGTATTCTGAATAAGGGGGTAGGGGGAAAACAGAGTAGGAAGATTTACATCTGTAGTCAATACATAATTTAATGGAACAAAAAAAGGCTTGAAGTATTGGAGGGGTATAATTATTTAAGAAACAAAAAATTTGTCAGAAAAGGCAAGTTTCAAAATCCTTCTTCACAGTTAACAAAAATTTATTTCCTTTCCCCAGTTAAGCGAATAAAACCTTAAAAAAAACGTGACTAAGCTGCTTTTTAAAAACGGGGGAAATTATTTCCCCAATTTTCAAGAAAATATACATTCCTGGAGGAGTGTAAAGGAAATATACACCCCTGGAGGAGTGTAGAGGAAATATACACCCCTGGAGGAGTGTAGAGGAAATATACACCCCTGGAGGAGTGTAGAGGAAATATACTGACTTAAAAATAATAAATGGTGGTTTAAATATTGATTATTTGATGAGTAGTGAGTACGGTGGCTGTCTAGTGTCTGGTCTACCTGTTTGGTGAGAAGCACAGTGCATTGATGGAATCAGCGTGATCCAAGGTATACAGATGCTTGCCATCATTCAGATCCCATAGCATAGCCTAGAGAGGATGAATATAGATATAGGATAGATATGCAAGTTGGATAAATAGATATAAAGGATAGAATCAGGATGATTTCTTCTAGATAAAGTTATTGAGAAATCCATTTTTCTACAATTCCCTTTTTATATTGATTTAAAACATTAACAAGTCTCTTTTGTCAGAGCCGTCGTTTCATGCCGGGGTTTATCCTTCTTATCAGACAAGACATTTCAAGCTGGACAAAAATATAATTTGCCTAACAACTAAGAATATGATTTATTTTGACACGGATCCGGATCCAGGTCATTTCTTTACTGATTTACCGAATTTTATTTAACAAAAAATAATTTTCAAATTTGTTTTAATTTTTTTTTCGCATATTTTTATCCTTTAACTGATGAACCATTCAGAAATGGGGAGGGGAAATTTTTAAAATCTCTTTTTATCTGCGGTTGCAGATTTTTCACTGTACAATCCCAGAAATTTTGTTACTTTTTGAGCATCAGGGAAAAGTAGGGGTCTTGTAAAACACACTCTTTGGAATCTTTTATGCACTCGTTTTGAAAGAAGATTTAGGTTTAGAGTTTATTTTCATCTCTCAACACGGTGAAAAATCTGCAACCGCAGATAAAAGGAATCATCACTCTGGATCTTGCGGAGAACAAAAGTCAACTAAGTTCAGATTTGAGGTTTAGGAAGTATTTGTCCCATCCTGCTGAGACAATGATGGGGTTCTGGTTGTTGGGGGAGAACCTCACGCAGCTAACCCAGTCACTGTGTCCTTCTTCCTAATCAACGAGCAAAAATTACTGCTAGCGCCGATTACATCCAAAGCGGCGACTTTTGAAACTAATAGTGTTGATTTGAAAAAAAAAAATGCGCTAACAAATAACGGTGTCGTATCGTTTGCACTAATGATTGATCAGACTAACGTACATTCGGACTGACGTTTTATTTGAGGGTTAGGTTAGGTTAAGACAATTTCTGGGCCGAGCGCCGCGGCTAGGACAGGCTAGGGGGCCGAGCGCCGCGGATAGGACAGACTAGGGGGCCGGGCGCTGCGGCCACAAGTGTTACTGATCAGCTGACTTTTGTGCAAAAGGACGTTAGTTCAATCGGACATTAGTGCAACCGATATAGCATCCAAATAACAGGGAAGCTAAAGGCCAAACTCGCACTTCCAATACTCGTGCACTACCTTTCTACAGAATTTTACCCTTTTCTTGTACAAAAGTTAATCAACGCTAACAGCTTGGATATGTATAAATGATGATCAGTTACTTAAAATTTCATCCATTTATTCAGTTTTACTGTAATGGACTCCCTGTTGTGCAATACAGACTCCAGCTTAAGAAATTAGTATCAGAGAAAATGCCCGAACGAATATTGTGACTGACCTGGATGGTGTACTTGCACTGGGCAAGGGTGTTCCACAGCTTGATGGTCTTGTCCCGGGATCCGGAGACGATCTGCCTGTTGTCGGCAGAGAAAGCGACGGACATAACGTCCTTGGTGTGGTCCTCGAACCTGAACAAAATTAAAATATGGTTTACATAATATTCATATTAAGCATTTAGTTTAGAAGCACTGATAAAAAACATTTTCGTAGTTATCTTGGCTTCTCTCTTTTTTAAATATAATCCCCTATGTTTATAAGTACAGGGTGTCCCATATCATATTGGATCGTTGATGGCTCTAAATTACGATTTTAGAGACTTATCGAAAAAATTCTATTTCTCAAAATTCATTTTTTTCTTCAATCGTAATTTTTTTTTCACGGTCAACACCGTGCCCTTCAATAAAACTAGACTTCATTTGTGTTGAGTATAGCCGGCCAAACGGCTAGAACGATTGGGCGGGGGAAAAAAATTGAAAATGTTAAAAAAAATAATTTAAATTTTTTTTCCGCAGGCAATGATGGGCTGTTAAGCTTTCCAGTAATTTCCGGCAAAGACTTCCTAGAAACAACGGAGTTCTGAATATCGGGAAAATTAGATAGAAGAGGCCCAAGCTAAAGATTTACTTTCCAAATAGTTAGCATATTTTATTAACAACGTATTTGAATGATCCATAACAAATAGTAAAATTTCCCCCCAGTTAAAAACAGATGTTAAATGTATTAAAATAATGTTAGATTTCTTTTTCTGTTCTCAACTAACCTACGGGTGGTCTTTCCGGTGGCAAGATCCCACAGTCTTAGGGTCTTATCCCAAGATCCTAGAATACAAGTTTTAAACATTAATCCAAACAATTTTAATTCTAAGTTCCAGTGCTTAGGATCCGGATCGCTACATTTTAGCTTCTAAGATACGGAACCAGATTTGCAAATATATGCGGATCAACGGTGCAAAATATCGAACAAAAACTGCAAACAACCTTTTTTTTGCTCGCAAGACTCGAATAGATCTGAAAAAGAACCCCAAAATTTCCTTATATCTGAATGGTCGCATCAAGTTTCAGCACACAGAAAAAATAATTTGTTAAGAAGTGTTTTATGACATATATCCGGATCAGATCATTGTCAATACGCAAAAATTTAAATTTTCTTTTTAGTATAGATTTAATTAAGCTAAAATGGGGGTTTGTTTTCCCACGAATACCCCCCCCCCCCCCCCCACAAATATTTCAGTTAATAAAACAATGAACAAATATAACAATAATCTTATATGATCATGAATAAAGCAATGAACCCTGTTTTCACCTCAAAGACTCAAATATAAAATTGCCTATATTCGATAGAGTTTTCATAAATAAAGATCCTAAACAAAATTCGACATCAGAAAAAACTATTTAACTAATTTCAGAATACTTGACGGTTTTGATCAGTGCTTAGGTTCCAATTAATTTTGATGCGGATCCGGATCCTGGATCCGAACTGGAAAAAAAATTCAGATCTAGGTTAATTCTTTAAAATTCACTGAAGTTTTTTAAAAGCAAAATTTTCAAAATTTCTGTCTTATTTTTTATGCTAAAAAACTTAATGAACCGTTCAGAAACCAGAAAATTTTTATTATCTCTCTTTAATCAGTTCAGATTTGGGTTGAGAGTAATTTTTTTGGCAGTTTTTGATTGAATTTTTGCCCCATCCGGATCCGTCTAAGCACTGGTTTCAATACAATGAAAATAACTGACCTGAAAGAGCAAAGTGTCCATCGGATGAGAGAACAACGTCACTGACGATCCAATTAATTTTGATGCGGATCCGGATCCTGGATTCGAACTGGAACAATATCCAGATCCAGGTTAATTCTTTAAAATTCACTGTATTTTGTTAACAAAGCAAAATTTTCAACATTTCCGTCTTATTTTTTTATGCCCAAAACTTGATGAACTATTCAGAAATCAGGAAATTTTTTATAGTCTCTCTTTAATTAGTTCAGATTTGGGTTGAGAGTAAATTTTTTTTGGTTAGTTTTTGGTCGATTGCCCCTTGGATCCGGATCCGTCTAAGCACTGGTTTTGATACAATGAAAATAACTGACCTGAAAGAGCAAAGTGTCCATCGGATGAGAGAACAACGTCACTGACGAAGTGTCCGTGTCCATGGAGACGCTTCTGGGGGAATCCGTAGTTATCTAAACAGAAATAAAACTTAATGGAATTTGGACTAATTTTTAAGTTTATTTGAATACAGAACACGTCAACGACACCTGAGCCGATCGGTTGCTTGATTAAGTAGCGTCTTAATAACCACAGGGAAGGTTTTCGGAATCAAATTTTGTCCGGAAAAACGTCAATCTTTACGTTTCAGAAATAGGTCAATTTAGAAGAAAAATCCTAATATTTTGTCTATTACAGTTAAGAAATTAAACACTAAAACGGTTACTCAGTTTTCGTAAAAAAAAAAAAAAAATAGGTAACCCCTGTAAAACAAGTGGGACAGTAAAAATAGAAAACAGAAAAGTATATTAACGAGTCTACATATAATAAAAACATTTGACATTAGATCTTCGTGAACGGTTTTCAGGATTTGTAAGTATAATGGCATTCAAACGCTTAAAAATATTGGAAATTGTTACAGCTTCAAAAGCAGAAATTCTAAAATCGATAACTGCTATGCGGCTAGACTATCATCTCCCAGAGTATGTCATTAAAGTGGACGTTGTTCATAAGTTTGGTGATTAATTCACAAAAAATATTAGCTTTTGACAAGCCAAAGAAAAACGTCCGGACTAGCATCAGTTGAACTCACCGCTATCGTCCCTGGTGAGCTTCCAGACGATGAGGGATTTGTCCCTGGATGCGGACAGGATCATCTCGGGGTACTTGGGGTTGGTGGTGATCTGGGTAACCCACCTGAATAGAAAAGATTTAAGCATGCGAAACATTTAGTAACATATGAGCTCTACGTACAATGGATAGGAAAGAATTTCAAAGATTTGACGATTCGTGAAGGTTTCCATGTTTAAACTGTATCAGGGATGTATCAGCATAGGTTTTGGTGAAAAAAAATTTACAAGTTGGACATTAGAAGGCATCTCGTTTCACTCAAACTCTCGTTGATTCCATTAAAAAATTTTTTTTCCACAGTCAGCAAATAACTTCAAAATTCATTCAACTCTCCACGCAATCATATTTTACTAATAAAGAAAAAATTTAAGTGAGGGGGGAGGGGAGAGAAAAATAATTTTGAATAAATATAAATTATTAGGTGCGAAGCCAATACCCGGCATATATGTTATAGTGGTGCGTTATTTTAATTCCAATTCCTATCCCCTAAGAAAGACTGATTTTAAATATTGATTTTAGAAAAAGAATCGAAATTATCAATGTAAGACTAAATTACGTTAGTGATGACCAATTTCTTACTCATTTAACCATAGGTACAACTATAGGTCGTATCTATATATCTACACTGCTCTGGTAAAGCGTAACCTTAGTGTGACTATGGTTCTACCTATGGTAGAGCGTCTAAGAAATTGGCCATTAAATTCTTTAGAAATCTAGGGTCTGTCCAAGAGAACGATTTTAGGACACCCCCCCCCCGCATATCAATTTCGTACATTACCGCTTTTTCAACAAATTGCAATTAATTTAGTACTTATTAGGGTTAGGTTGGGTTAAGACATTTACTGGGCCGAGTGCTGCGGCTACATGGTCAATTATATCCATGTCTAACATATACGATCCATGTAAAAAATTGATAGGAGGGCGGGGGCCAAAAATCGTTCTCTAGGAAATTACCATATTCATATACCGTCAAGTGTGCAGGGTACAGAACACAAATGGCGTTAATAATTACGTAGGTTTTTCTTGTTACAAAACTAGAAAATCATTTTTTATGAATTAAGAAATATAATTTTTTTCTATTTCATTATTATCAATTTTATACAATTTAAATATATAAACATTTATAAAAATTTAGAATGCAAATTCCTGATTTAACATGCGTCATGATTTAGAACTCCTTCCTGATTTTAAACGTTCTTTTCAGCTAATATTTGTTCCATTCCGTTCAAATATTTTTAATAACGCATTCGCGTTGCGTTCCGTTCTTTTTTAGGAACAATGGGATCGTTCTTGATATATCCGTTCGTTCTTGTGAAAGAACGATTGTTCTTGAAGAACGACGCCCAGCCCTACCTGCAGTATATAGAAATTGAGTTTTTGCCACAAACTCAAATTTCTCATCACTAAATCTTTGCCACCTGATGGTGTAAACCTTTATTTAATCAAACATAAATCCTAGTTTGAAATATCAAAGCTCTACATCAAAGATATAGGACAATCCATGATTTGGTTTACGAAGTTCATTTCCTTACCCATTGTGCCCTCGTAGGGTGCCTCTCAGTTGAAGAGTTTCTGACATTTCTCAAGTTCTTCTGAAATAATTTAACCTTTAGAAAGATTAAGACTTAGACCCGGTCGACTAACGAGGCCTACGATGCGATTTGCTCAAGAGTAAGGTAAGTTTGCGCAAGTGAAGCGTTGAAATAATATTTTCACGAAATACGATCAATTTCATGAAAAACTTAAGTTTAGCATGAAATTGATCAGGTCTCAAATATCATGACTGAAATCCCTGAAACCCTTTCAGCTTATGTCCGTTCTCACAAAATCTAACGTATCCCCGACGCAAGATAAGCTCTTATAGGAATTGCTCAACGAGAAATCATGGACTCCAAATAATCATGGATTCCATGGAATCATTACAAATCATTAGAATTCAGAACAATTATACAGAAAAATGAATAAAACCTTGATCACAAAAGCCGTTTATTGGATACAAACGCAGAGACAGACAAGCAATATATATTATATGATATCTACAGGGAGAGAGAGTGATCTTTGAGCAAACATTTTTCTCAATATAAAATGATTTACAAACCTAGTAATCTCCGAGTTGGAATGAATATTGGGTAAACTCATAATTTTCTGAAAAAAAATTCTTTACACAAATTTTATCGTAACGGGGCTGTAGACGTAATTTGACCTTCCATACAGGGTGTCCCACGAAACATGACAGTTGGTAATTAGTTTTGAATGTCGTCTTCCATACACTGTATTGGATTTTAAAGGGTGTTTGCAATTTATTTCGTTTAAAAAATCTTTTGCTCAAATATATTTTACTTTGAAGTTAATTTTACTATAAAATGACTCCTATATAATATTTTTATTATGTTAAGGAAACAACTTAACAAATTATGGAAGAATTCTAAACTATTTACCAACTGTCATGAATCGTGGGACACCCTGTATGTATAGAGTGCAATTTCTGATATGCAACGATACCCTTTAATCCTTTGTCTGGCCAAGGAATGAGGTTTCATCCTTCTTTATATATCGGAAAATTGACAACTTTTTTAATTGTAACTTGGAATTCTCTACAAACAATCGATCAATCACACGGAACTCTACATGCACAACTTTCAACATTTAATCACGTGTTCAAATCTATATAATTAATTGAGATTTTTAATGTATAACTATTTAAAGGCCAATTTGTATAAAGAATAACCTGATTTTGTTTTATAATGCAGAACCTGAGTTTTATGGTTGAAAATGTTTTATAATTTAACCTATATATATAATATTTAGCCAAAACCTATATATTGTTTTTAAAAAAGCCTAAGCCTCAAAACTTTGTAAATAATGAGTTTTATCTTTCAGAACACGATGGGTTAGTTGAATTCTGCTAACCAGTGTTCGTGTTTCTTTCTCCAGGTCTGTAAATTATCCGTGGTAAAAATACTATGCCTTTACACAAGATTACTTGGAATTGTTTTCACGGATGATTTATAGAATATATGTAGATAATTTTGATTGTTGTGATTCCTCTAACTAAGTTCCGGGTTCGTCTCCGTACTTTAAACCAGGTGAAAAAATTGCAAATGTCTAAAATGAGCTTAATTAATATCCTGACTTCTCACAAATCTCTCAATATAATGCTCATGCTAGCTAGGCTGGCACGAGTCCCGTTGATATATAACCTAGACTTGCTCCGCTGACTCGCGGAGAAGTTCTACTGCTCTTCAACATGCAGATGTCTCCCCTATGTGTTTGATTCCTGAGATGGTTCCGTTCTCTTCTAATCTGAGATGGTTCAGTTCTCTTCTAATCCCACCTACTAATCTTGACGTCCTGAGTCTAAGGAAGTCCATATAAAGGTGAGGATCAAAGCTCACAACCTTTGAGCTCTGGAACTCGGTCTAATTAGTTCTATTTAGACCTCCGTTGTCAAGACTCCGACATCACCGGAAGCTGAGTCATCCTTGTTTCTCTGGATCCTCAGCTTATGCTCCAGAATATCTTGCTGCTACTCTAGAGACCCATATACCTCTACGTACCAGGCCTCCACAACTTTGGCTTAGTTGTATCCTCTTCTCCGGTTTCTCCGACGAGAAGGATTGTTCCTCCCCTCTGATACCTCCACGGAAGGGTTCTGATTCTGTATCCCTGGTCTAGCTCCTCCTCTGAAGGTCAAATACAGGTAATAAATCTAAAAATCACGATGCTTGTGATGAATGTGAGAAAGTCACCACTTAAAAAGGATATTTGAAGTTACGCATGAAAACTTCGATCGGACTAAATTAGCTCATTTTTAGTTTCCTGTTCGCGACTGCGGTGCAATTTAATGAACTATAGGCTACAAACCTCTGGACAAATCAACATTGTAAGTTTATTTTCTTATTATATAAATAATTTAATAGTTAACCTGGAGAAAGTTTTATTTTAAAGACTAAAATTTTATTATTGTCATGCATATAATTAACCCTGGACTGTTTTATTGTGTTTTCAGTTCACGGTTGAGTCCTGTGTAAACTACCTACCTGAAATATATACATAAGATTTAATCAGTGCAAATTGAGGTGAGCCGAAGAGAAAGAGTTCATGCTCACTCTTATGTTTGTAGTTATTACCTGGTTCCTCAAGGTAAAATTTGAGCACGCACAGTAATGAGTGCCCACCCACTGTGAAAGCTTCTATTATGACATCGTCCTGAGCTGAAACCTTTAGAATTACATTCGCTTAATCCTGAGCTGAAAACTTTAGAATGGTGGATATCGAAATCAAAGCTTGATCTCCTCTTTTACTTAATCTCGAGATTAAATAATGCTTGTTCTCCTCTTGGTATTAATCTCAAATAATGAATAATAATGAATAATAATAAATAATAATGAAGAATAATGAAGAATGAGGAATAATAATGACTACCAAGAAATGGTAGATAAATAATCTATATCCTTTTAAATATATTTAGATCTAATGATAAACATGTAAATAAAACTGACTTATAACTCAGTCAACGAACTACTAAGAACCTATACAAGATGCAAAGATTTAGGGGTATTACTATATTTACTACAGATAGTTAGGGGAGAAAAGGATGGTTACAGAAAGTATGATGGTGTTAGGAGGGGATATAAAAGAGGAGGGGAGGGATGAGGGAGGGGAGGGTGCCACTTATGGATCAATCAATGGAATACTTAAGAACAAAAAAAAGGAAGACGATTTTTATTCCAGGTAAAAATAAAAAATAAACATATTTATCCAAAAGAAGAAAATTCTATTTTTGAAAAATACTAAATTTTAAAGGAGATGGAGGTAGCTTTTTCCTCGCCCACTTTGAATTTACAATTTCCTGAATTTACCAGTTCTTAAATTCGGACTGTTGGTCCTAATTAGTTAAAATAAAAAATAGGACACTAGACTTTGTCTTTTCAATTGATTCCTGTGTTTGTGTTTTCACAATAATCCTGAGGCAGTAGCCCAAAGGAGTTACCCAATACCCATAGTCGGCGTAGAACAGGCTTTCTTTCTGTCTTCGTTCTACGCCGACTAAACTCAACTCCTTTGGGCTTCTGTCTCAGGGTTATTGTGAACAAAACACACATAAATCTTTAAAAACTAAATCCAGTGTCCTATCTCTTATTTTAAATAATCTTGTGAACCGAACAAAAGGAATATTACTCGAAAGGGCGGAAATAAGGCGGAGGAAATGCAACTCCAAGGATGACAAATCCAAAAAGGCGAATAGGCTAGATAAACACTCTATTCTTCATGCATACAATGATGAGAACTTCTTCTTGAAAAATGTATATTTCAGTAACGAGGTTTCCTACAAAATACAAATTGTTATTGACGTACATGTATATAAATAATGATTGTTAATAAATATTAAACCAGTTGGGTGTAACTAAATACATGAATATTGTTGTAAACGAACAATTGGTTAAAGAAATATGTATCATTGAGAATTGAACAAAGGCTTAAAGGTCCTGTTGTGNTACAACACTGTACAACACTGTACAACACTGTACAACACTGTACAACACTGTACAACACTGTACAACACTGTACAACACTGTACAACACTGTACAACACTGTACAACACTGTACAACACTGTACAACACTGTACAACACTGTACAACACTGTACAACACTGTACAACACTGTACAACACTGTACAACACTGTACAACACTGTACAACACTGTACAACACTGTACAACACTGTACAACACTGTACAACACTGTACAACACTGTACAACACTGTACAACACTGTACAACACTGTACAACACTGTACAACACTGTACAACACTGTACAACACTGTACGACACTATACAACACTGTACAAAGTTCGTACAAACAATTAGTAAACTGCTGTGGGATCAACATAATTTTATATGATTTAAAGACATATTGACCAATTCACATCAGTTCACCTTACACCTGAACTACTAAATAAATCCGCAATGCACAGGCACTGTTATAGAGAAACCGCAACAGAAAATCAATTTTCTAAAAGAAAAACAATGATATCTCCGTCACTTTTGGAAGGTTAAATGGTTTAAGGGTAGTGTTCGAAAGCGCGTATAAAATTCCGTTTCACAGTCCTTTTTAATGTTTTATTTTTATTTTAAATATTCTGATGGTGTATTTGAACCAATAGACTGGTGAGTGGTCGGCTCATCAAATTGTTTTATACGTAAGTTTCTAAAAAACGAAAATATACCTACTTTTAAGGTTTGCATCAAACTTTTAAAATTGTAAAAAATACATTTTTTAAGAAAAGAAAAACCCTGAAAAAATACGTAAAAATTAAAATAGAAACCTAAAAACTGGGAACAATACAATTACAATTATTCGTAAAAATACGTTTATGGAAAACCAAACCCTTAAAAAAACCGCTTGGTTAAATACAGTGGTAGGTGATTATAACAATACAATGAAGACGACTTTTTAATTTAAGTTTTGATTAAGTTACAAGCTTTTTTTGAATTACAAGTTTATAAGTAATCAAATGGAAGCTTTTTTAATTGACAGCTTCTCTTGACTTCTATGTTTATGTGTATCCATGCTGTTTATCAGCCTGGTTTAAATCAAAATTAAAATCGAAAGTGGTCTTCATTTTATTGATTT